TCCCTCTTCAGACATGTGGCCTTGGTTAGTCTTCAGTCTAGAAATTTAAAAGCTCTCTAAGGGATTCTACTATGTGCCTGAGGATGAGAAACAGTGCTGCAGACTTCTTTTTTTGAGGGGAGAGACGATATGTGTTTATGCCAAGAGGAAGGAGCCCTGTAGAAAGGGAGATGTTGAAAATGCAATTGCCTGTAATCTCTGCTCTTTGATTCATATTGTCTTGGGGATGAAAATCACATTGTTTGCCTAATTCTCCTTTTTAAAAAATTCTTACCTGACCCCATCCTTGATTATCCTATTTTTTTTTTTTCCATTCATACTACTCTTTCCTGGCCTCTGGCCTCCTTTCCACTGATGTCTTGCTCTCATCACATCTGGCCTTTTTGCATACATTGTTCTCAAACCTAATCCAGTAGTGGGAAAAAAGTCTCCTTTCTTTTATTAGAAGTTGAAAAATTTCAAAGGAGTGTCTGCTAGGAGGCTAAGAGGGAAATAACCATATGAAACATAAAAAAAATCATTCTATTTAGCAAACACTTTTTAATATCTGCTGTCTTCAAGGCCCTGAATACAAAGATATATCAGATGAGAAGGATGAATAAGATAGGGATCCTGCCTTTAAGAAGCCCTCAGGCCAGTGAGAGAAATGGGTGTGTAAATAAATGCCTTGTGCAATATGTGCTGTTACAGAGATAGAGATCAAGATAAGATGGATGCAAAAAAATGGACTTTATTATTTTGTGTGATCCTGAAGGCTTTACAGAGGAGGTGATGCTTGAGTTAAAGCTTGCAGTGGAGTTAAGGTATGGCGTCATGAGGTTCAAGGAGTGGAATCAGAGCAATAAATTATTCCTTGGTGGCCCTGTGATAGCAGCAGAGTGGGTTTGAGTTTCCCATCTCCTCTTCCTTCTTGTTCTGCTTGGTTTATTGCAAAGTATCTTTGTCTCTGGAGGAGCTCTTAGGGGATAAGGATGTTTCACCTTACATATCCGTAGTTTCTCCCTTTGTGGTATAAACTTCCTGTGAATTTACCATCACTGGTTTATTATATATTAGATGGCTGAAACAGACCAGAACCATTAAATCAGAATTTCTAGAGGATGATGTCCAGGTACAGACAGTTTTCAAAGCACCCTAGGTGTTCTAATGGCATTCAGGGTAGAGAACCACTGGGCTGAAACATGATGTAGAAGAAAAGTCTGGAATTTGGAACTAAAAAATTGTAGGTTGGATTCTTGTGATTCTTTTTAATAGCTACGTGCCCCTGGTTAAATTACCTAGACTTCTGTAAGCCCCAGCATCTTTTGGAAAATGGGGATGGTAGTATACCTGTCCTACCTATCTTGTAAGATTGTGTGGGTCTGAAGAGGTGATTGTGGGAAGGAACAGTACATGTGGTTGTAACAATGAAATGTTCTGTTGACTTTCTCCGGGAGTAGACAGGCTAGGAGCCAGGCACCTTGCTGTGCAAGATAGTAACCATTTTATGGACGGGGTTTTAAGATTTCACCATCATGAGCATCTTCATAATGTATTTTACTACATTTGCGTAATGCTAGAAAGTTGAAGACTTAAGACAAAAAAGCAAATCCTTAAAGAAATAATCAGCAGTTGAGCATTTTTAGTCTGACGTATTAATTCTGTTTAAAATTGTAGAAATGTTTATTGTGATCAAGATTGTAAAGTATATAAATATGCTTAATATCAATAATGTAATTGTTTAGCATTAAAATGCTATAAATATGTTAGGTTTTTATTTTTAAAATCTGTACATTGAAAAAACAGAAATTTTCCAGAGAATAGTAAAAACTCTACAAAGTACCATGAAGTACCATGAATTCAATTACGTTGCAGGTCCCATCATGTCTGTTAAGTATGCAGGGACATGTCCTGTGTCTCGCTACTGTGGCAAGCCTGGTGTGTTAGTGCTGGTCATGTAGTCATATGGAAAGGTACTTCCTGATGGTATTGTAACTTATTTTACTTGAGAAGTGGTATTGTTTAGTGAGAAGGAAAATGAACCTTAAGGCCAGAGACTGGATTCCAGACCTGGTTTATCTACCCATTCCTATATGATAGTAGGAGCCTTAGTTCTCTGTTGCTTTGCAACATATTAAAAATTTAGTGGCTAAAAACAACAATAATTGTTTATTATCTCATGGTTGCTGTGGGTCACAAATTTAGGTGATCCTGGCTCAGGGTCTCATGAGGTTGCTGTCAGATGCCAGCTGGAGATGCAGTTATTAGAGGGTATGCCTGGGGCTAAAAGATTCACTTCCAAAGTTGCCTACTCACATGCTGGCAAGTTGGTACTGGCAAGTTGGTTGCTCTCCATGAGCAGCTTTCCCTGGGGCTGTCCTCATTCTGGCTTGCCCAGAGTGAGATACAAGAGACCCAGGTGGAAACTGGAGCGCCTTTTATGACCTATCGTTGGGCACAACACACCATCATTTTCAATGTCTTCTATTGGTCTCACAGGCCAGCCCTGATTTGCTGAAGGAGGGGACTACCCAAGGATATGAGGCAAAGATCCTTGGGGACCATCTCAGGGGGGTTGGCTACCAGAGAGGATAACAACATCTACCTGACATAGGAGAGCTTTGAGTTTCAATTAAGAATTTTTGTGAACATCCTTTGTAAACATTAAAGCAGCATACATATTTTTCAAGGTTTTCATCCCTTCTGCTGTAGACGTAGTACAACTAAAGGGAGGAAATTATAAACAAGAAAAGTAACAGCAGCAAGAACCTGTTGGTCACCTGAGTAATAACCTTAGGTTTCATCCTAGCCATCTATCTCCTTCATGAAATCTCTGAATGTCTGTTCTTTGTACCTCTCTCTTGGCACTTGCTCTGCCTCGCCTGGATTATAGTTGTTTGTGAACTTGTCTTACCCTGCGTTAGATTGGAAACTTCTTAAGATAGGGGGTATGTCGTACTCTTTTCACTGTCCCCTCGCACCTTGAACCTAGTGCTTGGTAATTCATTGGTGCTTAATCCGTGTTGCTGAACTGAATGGGATCGCTGGTGGAACTCCAGCCTTTGTGCCTCCCCTGAAATTTCAGATGCATAATGTCGTTTTTTGCTCAGGTGATGGTGGTGGCTCCCTACCATCACCTACCATCATAGGGATTCTGAGTTCCTAATTTGCCAGTGGGCCCTCAGTTTTTCCTAAATGACTCAGATGCTTGAATCTGTCAGGTGCTTCACCTGCCCTCCTCAATGATGACCAAAGCAAGCCAGTAAACAAGCACTCATACCCCACAGTCATTCTGTGTGACTATTTCAAAATCTCATTGACCTCCTGCTCAGCTTGGTAACTTGTAGCATATTGTTGACTTCTTAGATTAGGAATACCCAGAAGGGGGCTGGCCCCATGGCCGAGTGGTTAAAGTTCCACACACTTTGCTTGGCGGCCCAGATTCGAGGGTTTGAATCCTGGGTGTGGACCTACTCAATTCGTCAGCCATGCTGTGGAGGAATCCCACATACAAAATAGAGGAAGCTTGGCACAGATGTTAGCTTAGGGCTAATCTTCCTCAAGCAAAAAAAAAAAAAAGGAAAAGGAGGAGGCTTAGCAACAGATGTTGGCTCAGGGCTAATCTTCCTCACCAAAAAAAAGTAAAGAATAGCCAGAATATAAAAGTGTGTGTTTCTTTCATGTAATAAATCATAAAAGTTTAATCTTTGCAATTTTACTCAAAACTTTATTCTGAGAGCTAGGTCTTTGTAATGACACTTTGACACACTTTTATATATCTTTCTGTTGAAAAATGTTTGTAGCATTTACAGTCAATTTTTGAAAAATTATCTTGCTTGTAGCTGGAGGACACATTGTAAACACATTATCAAGTTCTAGTTTTGGAACCGTGTATAGTGAAGACATTTTTTAAAGAAGGGAAATGTTTGTAATATGTTTTATATTTTAGGATAATTTAATTTCATATGATTTCACATTATGTAGACCAGTAAATTCAGAGCATCTCAGGATTGTTTTCTCCTTTCTGCTCTCTCTTGTGGATTTTCCTGCAGATTTCCCTCTTTAGGAATTCTTTATCTCCTTAGCCACTATCTGTCTGCTCCCTCTGTTGTCTGTACTTAACTTCCTCCCTGTGTGTGGGCTTAGTCTACAGACGTCATGTTAGAGGATGAGCCGGCTACAAGGGACAGAACAGCGGTTGCGAGGAGCACTGGATAGAGCAGAGTTCCCCTGAAGGTTACGGTTAATGGACAAGGTGTTCTTTACTAAATAGGTAATAGTGGACCTATGAAACAGCGATTGGTAGGAAAAGATTAGAGTTGCCACAGATAATTTACCTTAGTTTTTTCGATAGACTTTATTTTTTAGAGCAGTTTTAGGTTCACAGCAAAATTGAGTGGAAGGTACAGAGATTTCCCGTATACACCCTAACCCCACATGCATAGTTTCCTCCATTATCCATATCACTTACCAGAGTGGCACGTTTATTACAATTGGTGAACCTACATTGACACATCGTTATCACCCAAAGTTCATAGTTTACATTAGGATTCACTCTGGGTGTTGTACATTCTATGGGTTTGGACAAATGTATAGTGACGTGTCTACCATTATAGGTAGTATAGAGTAGTTTCACTGTCCTAAAACTCTACTGTGCCCTGCCTTTTCATCTCTCCCTCCCCTCTGACAACCACAGATCTTTTAACTGTCCCCATAGTTTTGCCTTTTCCAGAATGTCATATAGTTGGAATCATCCAGTGTGTAGCCTTTTGCCTTAATTTTTAGTATGCCTGGTGTAGCAGATTATTTACAAAGCATTTTGGTATTTTTCCAAGAGCTTATTTGTTTAATAGTTGCTTTAATAAGAGTTTTATTAGTGTCAGATTAAAATAGTAAATAGTTATTACTTAGTTTTGTTAAATAGTAACTATATAGTACTGTTATTATGTAAGGGTAGTTTGAAGTATTTTATAAACTGATTAGCCTGTGTTTTTTATGTCTCACTATTTGTCATGTTTAAGAGAAGTATTGTGGTCTGCACAAATGGGTTGTGACAACACAGAAGAGTAATAGTTTGAGACATGTCTGGTATGTATGACTGCAGGTTAGTACTCTAAACATTTCATTAAAACCTTTATTTTAAAACTTAAAAAATTGGCATTAAATATAAATTTCTAGACATTAAAGTGGTACTGTAGAGGGAAAAGTATGTGGAATGGGGTTATGAAGACTTTTATTCAAGTGCTGGCTCTGCTTTCAGCTATGTGAACATGAACTTTTGGTCTCTGAACTTCATTTTCCTTTTGGGAAAATGGAGATAACATGTACTGCGTAGGTCATTTTTGAGGACTATGTGAGCTGTTTGGAATAATTCTGTGTAAATTTTAACTCATTACAAAGAAATGTGAGGAATTATTTTGTTAATGAGTCATACTTGATCACTGTCTTCAATTTAAACAATTTTTTCAGTTTTGCAGAAAAGTAATCAAGGGCAATAATAATTTGAGGTTAAGAAGGCAGTATTGCTGGAACGATAGTTATTTAGCTATGCTTGAGGAAAAAATGACTGCATTTTTTATCTGAATGTGTCTTGTTGATTAAGCCTGCTTGTGTCTTCTTATGAAAGGTATACACTTCGGGATATTCTGGTTTGTGTGCTTGGCTCCTAATCATATTTATTACCTAGTTGTCAGCTTGAGATGTTAGTCCTCCTTCCAGAAGCATGAATTATATTGCCACATTCTGTATAGAGTCAGAGACACATTATTTCCTGTTTATGGTGAGAAAAGTCTAGATTCTAAAGCTCTTATGACCGGTCCCTGTGTGGCTGAAGCCACTAGGGCAAGGTAGGGTTAGGTAGAAAGATTCTGGGGGAAGAGAATAAAAATAGTCTTGTGAAGTTGAAGTCCTGAGGCAGGTGATATATTAAATATAATTCTGGTTTCAATCAAAATGTCCCTCTAGTTTAAAATACTTAGATGTGTGGTCAGTGACATATTAATGAATGAAAATTATAGAAAACTTTATAATTCTGTTTTTGAGAGTGCTTGATGGTGCTTAGTTCAAGGCAAAACTGTAATAGTCATGCTCTGTCAGTACAGTTGACATCTTTATTATATTGCAGTCTCAACTTTTTGTAGCTCTACTAATTTAAAGTTATGGTGTTTTAAGAGGGTTAATCTGACAAGCATTTAGGATCAGTTGGAAGGTAGAGGGAGTAATGCAAAGTAGACCAATTAGGAAACTGTAATTTATTTGCAAGATAGTGAAGATTTTTACTGTAATTGTGGGAATAGGAAGGAGGAGATGCCCAGAAAGCATTAAAGAAAAGAATGATATGAAAATTCTGCATTGCCAAAAACAGAACAAAATTTTAAAAAACTATAGCAAAAAGCAAAGACAAATTAGGAAAAAGATTTGCAATTCATACAATAGGAAAAGGGCAAATTTCATAAATATATAAAGCATAACAATTCAATGGGAAAAAGACTGACAATCAAATAGAAAAATAGACAGACACAAAGGATATAAATAGTTAATGTAAGAGAGATGCAAAATAAAACTTCAATGAGATACCCTTTTTTTTAACCTATCAAATTGACAAAGAAACAAATTTTGAAAACATAGTGTGTTATTGAGGGTATAGGGAAATAGGCAGTGTATCGTTGCTAATGGAAGTACGACTTCGAATTTTTATTGAGACCAATTTGGAAATAGTTATCAAAACTTAAGATACACATATCATTTGATCTTGTACTTTTGTGAAATAATAGATATTTAAGAACATTCTTGGCAGCAATGGGAAACAACTTAGATGCTTATCTGTAGGGGACTGGATAAATAAATTATGGTGTATATAGTGAAATATTTAGGCAGCTTATATATACTGAACTGGAATAATTATTAAGTCAAAAAGGTAAGGTGCAGTGAGCAGTATTAGTAGGTTACTATTTTGGAGGAGACGAGATTAAGATACATATTTTCTTGTGTATGCCCAGAATCTCTCTGGAGAGAATTATAAGAAAATGGAAAATGCTTCTGAGGATTGGAACTTGGTGGCTGCAGAACAGGGATGGGAGGGAATTGCATTTTCCATTTTATACTACTTTTTGGATATTTTAAATTTTGTATTATACAAAGAAAATTTTAAAAGGAAGAAACATGTTCAGCTCCAAATGAAATTCTGCATTACATGTAGTCAACTCTGATAAATTAGGGAATAGAAAAATGAATTGAATTGAAAAAGAATTCTGTCGTTCATATATCTGATAAGAGGTTAATATCCAGAGTATAGAAAAACTCCTATAACTCAACAATAAAAACAAACAATCCAATTAAAAAAAGAGCAAAGGACTTGAATAGACATTTTCCAAAGAATATATGCAAATGACTGATAAGTGCATGAAAGGCTCAAAATCATTAATCATTAGGGAAATGCAAATCAAAAGCATAGTGATATACTACTACTTCACACTCATTAGGATAGCTATTATTAACAAAATCAAGGAGATGTCCCCTTGGCCGAGTGGTTAAGTTCTCGTGCTCAGCTTCAGCGGCCCGCTGGTTCACATCCTGGGCGTGGACATGGCACTGCTCATCAGGCCATGCTGAGGTGGTGTCCCACATAGCACAACCAGAGGTGCTCACAACTAGAATATACAACTATGTACTGGGGGGCTTTAGGGGAAGAAGAAGGAAAAAAAAAAAAAGAAGATTGGCAACAGTTGTTAGCTCAGGTGCCAATCTTTAAGGAAAAAAAAAGTAACAAGTGTTGGAGAGGCTGTGGAGAAATTGCAACCCTTGTGCACTCTTAGAATGTAAAATGGTGTAGCTGCTATGGAAAACAGTATGGCAGTTCCTCAAAAAAATTGAAAATAGAATTACCATATGATCCAGCAATTCTGCTTCTAGGTATATACCCCAAAGAATTGAAAGCAGGCTCTCTAAAACCCATGTTCATAGCAGTATTATTCACGATAGTCAAAATATGGGAGCAACTCAAGTATCCATGGATGGAAGAATGGATAAACAAAATGTAGTATATGCATGAAGTGGAATATTATTCAGCCTTAAAAAGGAAGGAAATTCTGACACATGCTACAAGGTGGGTGAATCTTGAGGACATTATGCTAAGTGAAATAAACCGGTCACAAGAAGACAAATACTGTGTGATTCCATGTATTTGAAATACCTAGAGTAGTCAAATTCATAGAGACAGAAAGAAGAAGGATGGGTGCCAGGGGCTAGGGGTAGGAGGAAATGGGAGGAGATGTGGTTTAATGGGTATAGAGTTTCAATTTTGCAAGATGAAGAGTTCTGGAGATTGGTTGCACAACAGTGTGACTATACTTATCACTACTGAACTGTATCTGAAAAATGGTTAAGATGGTGAGTTTTATATCATGTGTATTCTACCACAATTAAAAAAAAGTTAATATAATTCTCCCTCAAAAAAAAAAACAACCCTGTGGTATAGAGGTAGGGAGGATAAATATGTAAATAAGTGGCTATGATTTAGAATATGTGTCCAAATGAGTTATAAACAAAGATTTGGGGTGGCACAGGATGGGGGGTATATAAGGGAGATTGCCTATGACTTCACAAAATAGGAGGTGATATTATGAGCTGGCATTAGAATGCAATATTTATGGGGTGGAGAAGGGTGGAAAGAAATTCTGGGCTGAAGCACAAGTAAAGGCTTAGAGAGGGAAGGGGAAGGGTAAGATCACAGAACACAACAGATGATGCTGGAATAGAATTAGGGCAGCATGGTGTCTTGATGTCTGAATGTTGGACCACAGAATTGGGACTTTGTCAATGACTAATCATCAAAAGTTTTTGAACTGAGTAGTAGTATCGTGGTCACATTTTAGAAATCTGTATTTTTAGGAAGGATATAGGTAGTATGGGAGCTTAGGAGATTACTTAAGAGCCTGTTGAGATTCCTTAAATGGAGTCCTTTTGCAGCGTTGTGCCTTTGCTTTACTACAGCGGCCATGAATCCCTTGCTTCTCAAACCAGACGGGATGAATTCTGTCTGAATATGCCATTTCTGCCCAGGCTCGAGCCTGGGATGTTAAGATGTGGTCAAAAGAAGTCTTGGGGAGTTTGTTGGAAGTTTCTATGGGCCGAGCTGACCAACCAGGCATAGCTGGGTTTTTTTCTTGGTTTTCTCTTAATATTGTAAAATATGTTGTCCTTTTCCTCTGAGAGTGTGACTGTGTGTGGGAGCACCTGACTTCTGGGTGCAGACATCTTTGTTCTTAGTGTTGTATCCTAGACTGCCTCTCTCAGAATAAGAGAGAGGGTTGGGCTTTTTGTCTTCCTCCTGCTTGGGTTTGTCTCACTCTTGTCTTGTTTGGGGTGTAAACCCCTCTCAGGGTTCCTTTATCCTCCTGCTGCCTTGTTTCTTGCCTTGTTGACTCTGCCTCTTTCTTTCAGAGTAACCAGTTACATTCCTTTCTCTGTAAAAAGCCAATGTATATTATTTTTATCTGTGTTGAATGTAAACCCTCCTCCCAAAAATGCTTTCTTCTCATCTTGTTTTGCTTTTCTGTTAAAGTAAGCCCGAGTCCTGTTTGTCCTCTGCCACAGAGGCCATCTTTTTTTAGATTTCTTCCAGCTGGTGGAGCAGAATATGTTTAGTACACAAAAGGCTAGAGACTTTATATGCCAAAGTTTTTCCCTAAGTAAATCGGTGTACCATATAAATTCTTTGGCCTTATTGATTTTCTCTGTGACAGATGAGGTATCTAATTTAGTTGCTTTGTTGATGTTTCATTGTTTTGTCTCTTCATGCTGTAACCTTGTTCTTTCCCTCTTTGCATTAAAGAAATATGAACTGAATTCATAGAGTTGGTAGAGACCATACTCAGTTTTAAAGATAGAATTTGTCCTTTAGCCAGGTATTAGAAATTGCTCAGTTTGCTTCCTTGATTTCTTTTTCTTCCTAATTCTCAGGTGTCAAAGGCAATAGGATATACACATCCACACCATTTAGTAAAGAGGGATGGGATGGATTCTGAATTCCTTTGTCTTGCTAAATTTTCTCCCCTGCTAGGAGTGGTGCAGAAAAAAAAAGTCTGAGAAAAAGTATTTTCTGAT